CTCATCACTAATTAGAGTCAGAGCAAAGACAGGAGCCTGTATTTAGCACCATGTGATGGAAAGAGTTATTCCTTTGGGTGATTTATAAGGGGCCAGAGGTCTAAAGTTGGGTGATTGTCCATTTAATGGTCTCAACTGGAAATTTGAGAATTTAGTGTGTGAGTCAGCTTCACAGTTTCCTCTGGAATTTTCACAGTGTGGCAGAGGGATGCAAAAGTAGCCCTAATGGGGTCTGGGCTGAACTGGAAGGTACAGTATCCACTAAAGCAGATACAGAACTCTGATAAGCTGGGGGAACCCTGAAGTCCTCTTTCCTGAGTTCTCTGGATCTAGCCCCATGTCCCAACAATAAGGACGGTGTTAGACTCTCAATTATTCTGCGGACAGTAAAATACATTTGAATAGAGAGCAATGCATATTACTCAGAACACACATTCTGAGGTGCATTTTCCACAGCACTGACCAAAGATAAGAGATATTTCTGTTTATCAGTCCGAGGTGACTCTATCATGCTTTAGTACTGGGAACAGATGTTATATTCTGATTTGTCTTGACATGGCGAAACTGGGCTCAGCTCTTATAACAATGAACTTCCAAGGGTCACTGCTTACTTCACGCAATAGAGGTTGTTGCTTTCAAAATCTGCAGCAGGTCGGTTGGCCTTCCTCTGTGTTGTAGAAATGTTATCTGAGACACATAGTTTCTAAGGTTGCCAGATATGAGGTCTATGGAAGTCCTCTCACTTGCCAAATTGGAAACATGCTTCCAACCTGACTGGCAGATCCTGGGAGAAGTATGAGAAGGGGTATAAGTATAAGAACAACACAGGCATTTGTTGAGCGCTAATGGTCTGGAGAAGGACATCATGCTAGGTAAAGTAGAGGGTCAATGAGAAAGAGGAAGATTCTAAAACAACAACAACAACAAAAACACCAACACTGGGCACAAACATAACAATGGGGAGCATAGCACAAAACTGGGTAGCAGTTCATTCTGTTTGACATAGGGATGCTGTGAGCCAGAGCTCCCAGGTCAGCACCTAACGACGACAGCAATGGTCTCTTCCACATGCTCCACGCTGGGCGCATCAAATTATCCATGTAGGGAATTGTGTAGACACTTTAAACTTCATGTTTTAAAAGCATAAATGGGGATCTATCACATTTTGTTGTTGTTGTTGTTATTGTAGGTAAGCGCTGTCGAGTCAGTTCACTCTCACAGGGACCGTATGTGTAACAGAATGAAACACTGAAGCTCTGCCTAGTCATGCACCATACTCAGATCCCGTGCTATGTCTGAGCCCATTGTTGGAGTTGCAGTGCCAATCCACTTCATTGAGGGTGTCCTTTTCATTGATCCTTTATTTTACCAAGCATGATGCTCTTCTCCAGGGCCTGGCCTCTCTTGATGACATGTCCAAATCTGTGATACCAAGTCTTGCTATTCTTGCTTTCAGGAGACTTCAGGATGCACGTGTTCCAAGATAGGGTTTTGTTGTTGTTGTTGTTTTTAATTGTTTTACGTTGTTGTTGTTGTTTTTAATCATTTTACTGGGGGCTCATACAACTCTTATCACAATCCATACATACATCAATTGTGTAAAGCACATTTGTACATTC